ATATGTGATGCAATGCAATTATACTTGCACTACTTTTACAATCTCTTTCAAAAGCTAGTTTTACTTGGACAACTAAAGCTAACCAGCATATTTTTTTGTATAAATACTTGTTTCTTTCATATTTTTATCTTACGTACTGTTTTGTAATCTTTTTCTTAAATACTATTCCTTTCTTTTTTTTTTTTTTAACTTTTTATATACTTTTTTAAGTAGCGCTTGTTTTTTATATATTTGTTTTTTACTTTTTTCTGACTCGGCCCTACTAAGTTTTTTTAAGTTTAATAGCGCGCGCACACACACATATATTACAAAACAGTGCATTAAGTTTAATAACACACACACAATTAAAGCTAAACAAAAGGGTGTGTGTGTTTACTTGGAAAAAAAATTACAGAACAGTGCATTAGGGATATGAGGCATCCACTAATGATGGAGAGGATCTATTCCCTTTGACCTATATAGAGAAGGGAAATTATGAAAGCAAAGTTTGAATTGATGGAAGTATTTTTGGGATTAAAATGACCACCAGTCCTTTCAAAAGTGACAAATTCCTATGCACAAAGTATTATAATTATAATAATATTGTACATCACCACACGAGTGAGAATATTTCTAAACATTATTAATTGAAAAAAAGCATGGTAGTGGAGTGGAATCCAAATCATAGTCCTAATTACAATTAATTAATCAACGGGCCTTTGGTTCAATAGTACTCCTTACCTTGTGAAAATTTTGTCTTCTTAAGGTCAAGGGTTCAAACCCCCTTCCCCCTCTCCATCCCCCTTCCCTCCCCAGAAAAAAAACTAATATGATATGATTGGATTTTATGACTCAAACTAATTTTTTATTGACTGTATGCGACATGCATCACCTTAACTTTATTCTTTTGTCTTTCTCTTTTGAAGCTTGATCACCAGAGTAAGCAAATAACAAACTTTACCAGTTGGAGTTAGACAAATAGAACAAATACTTTACTTGAAATAATGGTTAACCATAAAGAAGTCCTCTATGGTACCCATGTACTTCTATAAATAGTTCTCTTAATTGGTTACACTTGCTAGAGCAAACAAATTGGCACATAGACGTCTTTAAATAAGTAAGTTCAATTAATTTCAAGTTTTATTATGCTTTAATTTCGTGAGAATTAAAATTTTCAATTTGCGAATTTGTGCTCTTACTTAGTTATATGCTTACTCATTATTATTGAAATTTTTATTTGAAAAGTACTGACTCATACATAAAGGTACTTATCATAGTAGAGTGATATTTGTAACTTATAATTGTTACTTCAAGACCTTATAATCAAATATAAATTTAAAAATTAAATAGCATTCCACATAGTTGTGCATGAAATTTAATTTTTTATATTTATTTTTATGAACTGGTATGGGTGAATGTTTGTCTTGATGCATCTAGTATGACACTCTCAAAGTGCTCCCATTCTCAAATATTTTTAAATTTTGTCGCTTTTACGCTCTCGCTCTATATGATCTAAGTCATGCTTTGTGAACGTAGACAAATTTTTTTGCCGAACCACGTTAATCTCTTGCGTCTTTATGTGTGAGTGTATAATAATTATGTCTTATTACATTATTATCTATTTTGATACTCAAATCATCGGTCTGTCACAACAAAATATTTGCACGACTATTGTGAAGGTAGTTTCAAACCTTGCCGCAAGTGAAGGTCACGATTTTGAACTATTTTATTTTTAATGTACGTATTTCCTATAAGATCAGTTATAACTCCTCGAGTTTAAAAGTTTGAGATTTGGGCAGTAGGAGTTAGAGGTTTGGATTGGGTTTAGATTAAACATTTTCAAATTTGGATTAATCTTTTAATTCGCCTAGTTCGTCGTAATCGCATCTCTAGTATTGAACACCCATTCATTATCCAAACTCAGTAAAGTTAGATTTGAACTCACTAATTTAAGATATAATTTATTGGTTGTTTTTAGAATAGCCATTACTGGTGAGTATGCCTCACAAGTTTAAACATGATCTGAAAATTCAACAAAAAATTAGATTGAGATTTAGTTTTAAGGAGTCGGGTGGCCAAAGAGTGGACATGTTGGACCTGCGAAATAAGATAGGGCGACACGAGCTAGGCAAACAAGATACAAATATGGCTTAATATGGTTTATACATGACACAAATTCGATACGATATGAACTTAATTATACATAAGTATAAATGGATCAAATATGATTTGAATAAATTTTTACACATTGCATCTCGTTTTGCGATATAGTCAATTAATAGATGACATGTAGGATAGATCTAATCTTGTGAATCATGGGATCTTCAGATGCCTTCATCATTGGCAAAAAAAAAAGAAAGAAAAAACTTCACTTCACTACTATTAGCAAGAAAGAAAACAAACACTTTTCTTGAATGTAGGAAGGATGCATCATCTTAACTTTATTCTTTTCTCTCTTTCTGTGCAGGCTAGGTGACCAAAACTAAGCAAATTAATAATTAACTTTATCAGTTGTAATCATACTAACGGGCTTTTGGTGAAGGATTTACTTTCTAATATTTTTTCATGCTTGTAAATGTTTTTGTATAAAATGTTGAAATATTTTTCGGTAATCGTTTGTCACCTCTAATACGAAGTCTGTTAAGATGTCAATCTGCCTGAGAATAGCTTCGAGGGACTATAGGCTGCGAAAGTATGCACTACATTACTTTGATTTTTTATTTTTTTTTCATTTAATTGCCAACTAATCATGAAGGAAGAATGTGTTGATTGTGCCTTCTTTCTTCTCTAAAATGTCACCAGGTACCAGAAAAAGAATGGACAACTATCCCCATATTCCATTAATACATTCCATTAAGAAGAATATGCTTGCTTTACCTTCCTTATCGCCTGAAGGCTGTATCTATAGAGTTCCAAGACAAATTCGAGAACGGAATCCAAAAGCTTATACACCCCAAATAGTTTCTGTTGGCCCTCTACACAATGCAGAAAAGGAGTTGGTAGGCATGGAAGAGTTCAAATTAAGGTGCTTGAAAGCATTCCTTGGTCGAACTCACATCACTTTGGAGGATTGTGTAAGCAAGATAAAAGAATTGGAACAGGGAGTTCGCAATTGTTATGCAGAAAGATTTGATAAGCTTAATAGTGATAGCTTTGTGAACATGATCCTTTTGGATTGTTGTTTCATCATTGAGGTGTTTTTGAATATTGTATATGCTGATTATCAAGTGGCCGAACTAGAAGGCGTAATATTACTGGACCATCTAAGTGATCAACGGGTGATTGCTCAAGTGAAATCAGACATAATATTACTTGAAAATCAGCTTCCATTCTTTATAATAGAGAGTCTATTCAACCTAGGATTTCATTCAAACCCAGACCACCACCTGCCCTCTTTCCGCCAGCTTGTCATGCTTGGCATCCGAGCCTTCATTCCGATTGAGGACATTGCACTGGATATATCAAATACTGAAGTGAAGCATTTTGTTGATTTGCTAAGGGTATGGTTCTTACCATCAAGTCCACGGAGCTCATTGGAATGGGAAGAAAATTCTTATTTTTCAGAGATGCCACAAGCAACGGAGATGCAAGAGGCAGGAATGATTACGAGTGCATCATCAAACCCTCGTTTACTTGATATAACATATACAAATGGAGTGTTACAAGTCCCTAGATTAATTGTAGAAGACGGGACCGAATTTTTATTTAGAAACCTTGTTGCTCTGGAGGTATGCCATTATTACCCTGAAACTTACATAATTGATTATCTTGTTTTCATGGATAGGCTTATTGACTCTGCTCAAGATGTGGAGTTACTCATCAACAGTGGAATTAATTATAGCCTGGTTGACGACAGCTCTGCAGTGGCGACTCTCTTCAATAACCTTTGCAATGGTGCTACATGTGGACCATACTATTATCGTGACATATGTAAGGACGTGAATAAATATTGCAATGTCCCACGACATAAATGGAAGGCAACTTTGAAACGTGATTATTTCAGTACTCCTTGGAGAACTGCTTCCACTGTTGCTGCAGTTATATTGCTTGTGCTTACCTTTATTCAAACCATCAAGGCTTTTTTCTGACACAAAAAAAAGAAAAAAAAAATCAAGACTTTTTAATTCTCTAATGAAAAGTTATGCTTGTTAGCAAGTTTCTGTCTAGATACTCTGTACTCATCGTATTTGTACTTTTGGAAATTCAATAGGTATCATGGTTTGAAGCTTCATTGCCTGTTGACATATGATTTACTTAAATTAGAGATCTGCTTACTGGTCAGGTTTGAATGATTATAGAATCGAAATTATGTAACTTTTGATGGAATATGTATGTCGTGTGTGTATATATAGTAGCACGGTAATGGAAATTATGCACCACAATCTTTGGTAGGAATTTTTCACATGAATAGTTAGATTGCAATCCAAGGGTCACTAAGTCGTCATGGAAACTATGCACCGTACCCTTTGGTAAGTTCTTTCTATGTGAGCCAATAAATCTTGATCTAACGGTCACCACTCAAAAATACTTGGAATTAAATGGTAAAACTTACCAAATTCAAACACTAAAAACTCAAACCCAATATTCTGATACTGTAAGTTCCTATTAAGCTTATGTGTGTGTGTCGCCAATCATGTGCAACAAATGGCTCTAGAAGCAATAGGCTGAGGCAACAAATTAAAGCACTCAGTACACAAAGAGAAAGGAAAAGTAAGGCATTTGCCATTGATTCTCTCAATAACAGTAATGAGGCTAAAAAAATCCTTCACCAATTCCTAAATGTCAATCTTCTGGGAATTGAATCCATGGCTCTCAGTGCCTTTCCCCAACCTCCTTGAACCCTAGAATTTCCATGTCAAATTTTTTCTCATCCTCCCCTTATTTCCTTCAATCCTCCATTTCCTACCGCTACCCACCTCATTCACTCAGATCCCCTCTTCTTCTCATCCTCTGTTTTCTTCTACTTATCCTCTGCCCAGCCTTCTTTACAATTGATTTATGCAAACCGTTCCAGCTCAGCCATGACAGGGGAGGCATTTACTTCTAAAGATCCAAAGAAGATCGATGGGGCTCCTACTTGTTCTACCAACTACCAAGCTATTAATGAAAGTGGGTCACTCCAATCTCTCACTAAAACATCACTAGGCAGTGAACAAAAAGATACTCCACCAAACCCACCATCTTTGCCGAATGAAGTTATTGCAAACAAGACTCCATCCGCAACTTCAACCACAGTTGATGTTGAGATAGAGGACCACCGCAGCATCCAAGAGTTCCCAACTCTCCCTACGGGTAACAATGTTCGGGACTCTTCCCCTGTTCCTACGGTTGGGGGATCTTCTAATGGGCAACATCCAAGCAAGCATATGAGTGTTCCACAAACTAAACCCACACCTACAAAGCCATGGAGCCAAGTATTAAAGCAGAATGCTATGGAAAAATCCAGCTCTTTGCAACAACACCCTTATGAGGTAATGAATCTTCAATACTTTAAACCCAAAAGAGAGAAGAATGGAATCATTGTCCATACCCCTATGGAAGTTGTCTCTAAGGGCTGTCATGAGTGGAGAAACTGTCTCGTTGGTTACTTCATAGAGAAAAAACTCCCCTTGACATCTGTTAGCTTTATAGCTCACAAGATTTGGGGCAAAATAGGCCTCCTTAAGGTTTATGAAAATGAAAAAGGGGTTCTATTTTTATAAGTTCAGGGATGATGAGTCTAGAACCAAAGTATATGAAGCTGGCCCTTGGATTTTTTCTGGTAGGCCACTCATCATCAAAAAGTGGCATCCTGATCTTTGTCTAACCAAAGAGAACCACTCTGTAATTCCACTATGGATTAAGTTGCATAACATTCCCCTCCAATTTTGGAGTAATGAAGGACTAAGCTACCTTGCTAGCGCAGTGGGTAAACCGCTTTATACTGACACTCTTATTGTAAATAAGAGGAGATTAAGTTACCCAAGATAATGTGTGGAGGTCTATTGAAAAACTGGTTGAGAGCTTTGACCTCCTCATGAACATCCAAGGGAAAATTGAAACCATAGAGGTCAAGGTGGAGTACCAATGGAGACCTAAAATTTGTCATAACTGCTGCATTTTTTGTCACAACGAGTCAACTTATACCAAACAAAGAACTGTGGAAAGCTGGAAGCCCAAATCAGCTCCTTTACAGGCTAGCTCAGATAGGCTAGATAAGGGAAAGACAATTGCAACTATGACTGGGTTAGAGCAACAAGAGGCTGGTTAGACTCAAGCAGAGGAACTGATAGGAGGTTACCAAGCTTCTTCCTCGGTCACGATCAAGAATAATATGGGAATGGTTATCCATGGTGGCGCCTCTAACTCTTCTCAACAAGAAATTTTGGGTCATGATCACCATATCACTAAGATAACAATCAATGAGAGTACCCCTCCTCAACTGCTCATGCAAGCTGGTGTTACTTTGGCATCTAACAAATTTGAGGAGCTCAACAAGGAGGAAGGGCAAATTGTGGTTGATTTAAAAGCGGAGATTGAGCCTGAAGCAAACGTACCAAATGAAACAACTGAGGATGTCTGTAAGGAGGAGGAACTAATTAGTGCTAAACTTCAACAAATGCCAAACAAAAAGAAGAAAGACTCAAAGTCCAAGGTGGCTGAGCATCACTTGCTCAGAAAAATCCAACCCCCTCAATGAATTGTGCATGTTGGAACATTAGAGGTCTTAATGAGACTTCTAAACATGGGGAGGTTAGGAAAATTATTTTTGAACAAAAGTTTGATATTTTGGGGCTGGTTGAAACAAAGGTGAAACCTGTAAATAAAAATAGAATCATACAGGGGGTCTTTAGAGATTAGAATTGTCTAGCAAACTATGATAGTCATAATTTTGGAAGGATATGGATTGGGTGGAACCCAGATAATGTGGAGCTTAGTAAGTTCTCTGAGTCTGATCAAGTTGTCCATTGCAAGATCAAGCATCTTGAGAGTAAGGTACAATTCACAGCCTCTTTTTTCTATGGCTTTAATGAAGATAGAGAAAGAAGATCATTACAGAGAAATCTTATCTACCATGCTAGTATCTTCTCAAATGAACCTTGGGTGGTTTTAGGTGATTTTAATACTATTAGGAGCTTACAGGAAAATGAAAGGGGACAGAACAGATGGAACTCTGGAATGGAAAATTTTGATAAATGCTTACAGGATTCCGAGCTTATTGATCTCAAGTACTCAGGTATTCAATTTACATGGCGTAATAAGAGGGGTGGTCATGGATGTGTGGCTCGTAAGCTGGATAGAGTCCTGGTGAATGAAAGGTGGAGCCTCGCATTTCAACAGGCTATGGCAGATTTTTTACCTCTTGGTGTTTCTGACCATAGTCCTGCTGTTGTGCATTTGGGACTTCAAGTGGAAAGGAGAAACAACCCTTTCAAATTTTTTAACTTCCTTGCTGAGAGAGAGGATTTCTTAGACTTGGTGAATCAGATTTGGTCAGCCTATTCAAGGGACTTGTCAGTATCGTGTTTGCTGCAAACTCAAACTTCTCAAGACAATGTTTAAAGTGATAACCAAGAATATTGGGGAAGTTACAATTAGAGCCAAAGAAGCCAAATAAGCTTTGGAGAGATGCCAAAGAAGCTTTGGAGAGATGTCAAAGAATGCTGGATGGTAACCCAAGTGACACTGCCATGAATAAAGAGGAACAACAACTCCTTGCAAAGTACATTCAAGCTGCTAAGATTGAGGAGGGATTTTACAAACAGAAATCTAGGGTCCAATGGCTCAGCGAAGGGGACAAGAATACATCTTTCTTCCACAAGACTATGGCTAATAGAAGGAACAGAAAAAAGATTTTGGCTCTTACGAGAGCTGATGGCACAAGGGTTAAGGGGGAACAAGCTGTGAAAGTTGAGGCTTTAGATTATTTTCAAAAGCTCCTGGGATGGCCCTCCTATTCAAATGAGAGCAGGGATTCGTTGCAACCGATTATCCAAAACAGAGTTACTGATCAACAAGCCGCTGAAATGGAAAGGGAAGTCACTGAGGAGAAAATCAAGAAATTTTTTTCTCCTTCAATGACCAAAAAGCCCCAGGTCTTGATGGGTTCAATGTTGTGCTTTTAAAAAGGCTTGGCATATCATAGAGAAGGACATTGTTGCTATTGTGAAGGAATTTTTCTCAAAGAGAAGGTTATTGAAGGAGGTAAACATTATCATCATTGCGTTAGTACCCAAGGTTCCCAATCCTACTCTTATGGGGGACTACAAACCTATTTCTTGTTGCAATGTCATATATAAAGCTATATCCAAGATTATTGCCAATAGGATTAAAGGTTCTCTTCTTAGTCTTATAAACCCAAACCAAGCAGCCTTTGTCCAGGGAAGAAAGATTGGTGACAATATTCTACTCACTCAAGAGTTAATGAGGGATTACCATAAAAATAAAGGGTCCCCTAGATGTGCTCTAAAGGTGGATTTGAGGAAAGCTTATGACACAGTTAACTGGACTTTTCTGTTTGAAGCATTGAAGGCTCTTAATTTCCCTTACACCATGAGGAGATGGATTTAAGCATGTGTTACCTCTGTTATATTCTCAATGAATATCAATAGTGGGCTAGTTGGATACTTCCCTAGTAGGAGGAGTTTAAGGCAGGGTGACCCTATGTCCCCTTACCTTTTTGTTATTGCAATGGAGTGTTTATCTCTTCTTATCCAGTTCAATATTAGTTCAAATCCAAGCTTCAAATTCCATTGGAGGTGTAAAACTCTCAAAATTGCCCAACTTTCATTTGCTAATGACTTGATGTTGTTTTGCTACAGTGACATGAACTCTGCCTCTGTGATTAAGAATTCCTTGGACCAGTTCAATATGGCTTCAAGGCTCCAAGTTAATGCAGGAAAGAGTAATATTTTCTTGTGTGCAATAAATGAAGATATTGCTTGTCATATCAAGAATTTGTTTGTTGTTGAGGAGGGGAATCTACCTATCAAATACTTAGGTGTTCCACTCATTTCGTCTGGTTTGAAGCATCAACACTGCTCCAGTCTTATTGAAAAGGTAGAATCAATAGTTAATTCTTGGGTCAATCAATCACTTTCATATGTTGGTAGAGTTCAGCTAGTCATTTCTATTCTATGCTGCTTGCACATATTCTGGGCCTCTCATTTGAGTCTTCCACAGAAGGTTATTCATAGAATTAAACAGACCTTGAGATCTTTTATCTGGAAAGGTATTGATCTTAGTCATATGGGAGCAAAAGGTCTCCTGGAAAGCGGTATGTAAACCAAAAGAGGAAGAAGGGCTTGGTATCAAAAGGTTGAGGGATTGGAATAGAGCACTGCTTATGAGGCACCTATGGTAGCTTTTTAATGACAAGGAGAATTTATGGTCTCAGTGGATTCATGTCTATTACATCAAGGGGAGAATCCTTTGGGACCTCAAAGTCACCCAAGCATGCTCTTGGAATTGGAGAAATTTGCTTAAACTTAAAGAATTGCTCAAGCCATGCATTATCCACAGGGTAGGAAATGGGAATGCTACCAGCCTGTGGTTGGATAACTGGCATCCCCTTGGTCCACTTCTTCAGAGAAGTGACCCAAGGATCATGCTAGAATCCAGAATTCCAAGAAACGCAAAGGTTAGCAATATTATTTTGAACAACCAATGGAATTGGACAATTAGTACTTCCATTCAAGTGCAGGAAATCATCGATACAATGCCAAGCTATCTTCCTGACCAAGATACTGAGGATTCAGTTAAGTGGACTTTAACTACGGGGGGTAACTTTTCTACTAATTCTGCCTGGGAACAAATCAGGAGTGAAGGTCCAACCGTGCAATGGTATAAACTTGTATGGTATGGTAAAGTTATCCCTAGAATGGCCTTCATCCTCTGGCTTGCTATCAGATATAAGCTAAGCACCAAGGACAGAATTCAAAGATTTGAAGCTCAGATTAACCCACAATGTGTTCTATGTAGGAGAACTGATGAAACACACAACCATTTGTTTTTTGAATGTAATTTCTCTAACAAGGTTTGGAATGGTGTTATGCTCCTGAGCAACCAGCAGTGGCAGTAGAGACAATGGACTGATTCAATTTCTTGGGTTGCTCAACAGTGGAGAGGGAAGTCAATGAAGATAGCTATTTTAAAGCTTGGTCTTTCTGTTACTATCTATTCTTTGTGGACTGAGAGGAATGGGAGAATTTTCAAAAAATGGAGCAAAGTCCCAAGTTCTCTTCTCCATTCCATCACACAAACCATCAGAGAAAGGCTCATATCCTTGAAATTCAAAAGAACTCAACAAAATGCAATTTTGCTGAAATAATGGAACCTTCCTGAAGCTTGTGTTGAGCTGAGCTGAACCGTGGATCCCTCGGTTTGCTTTGCATTTTTCTGGCCTTTTGCTGTTGGGCTGTATTGCCTTTTATATGAAGGGTTGTTTGCTCTGGCTGTGCTGCGGCTTGGGGCTGTTCTGCTTGTGCTGGGATGTTATGGTTGAAGGGTCTCTTATTAAGGTGTTTGGTAGGTGGAGGGTCTCTTATATGCTGAGGGCATCATTGGATCCTCTCTTCTGTTCTTGTTTGAGAATTTTTAACGCAGCTATGTTGAGTTGGGTTGTTTTGCTTTGTCTTGTAGCCTACTTGCTGATTGGGGCTGTCAGATTGATGGTTGTTGCTACTATGTTGAGCTGGACTGCTTTGTTGTATTCTGTTTTTACTTCTACAAATGGGTTGTTGTTGCTATGTTGAGCTGGGCTAGCTTGCCTTGTCCTGTTTTCTTCTACTACAAATTTTTGTTGTTGCTATGTGGAGCAGGGTTGTTGCTGCTTTGTTTTGGGCTATTTTGCTTTGTTTTGAGGCGGTCCGCTTGATGTTTGCTGCTACTATGTTGAGATGGGCTGCTTTGCGTTGTGTTGGTTTTGTTGCTGCTATGGCGTGCTATGTTACTATCTTTTGGCTTGCTCTTTGTTGCTGTACTTGGGCTATTGTGTTTTGATATATTGGTTTCATGCTCTGTATTATTGTCAACAATTATGTGGTAGATGCTCTTACTTAGGGCATCTCTTACAAACTTGTGTCATGAGCCCTGGATTTTTGGGTTTCTTGTCTTATATTTGGGTCCTAAGTGACTCCATTGTATATTTTGTGAGTGATTACCCTTGTATATCCGTTTTATATTATTACATTTACCTTCCAAAAAACAAAACAGTAATGCGGCTGTGAATGCCAACCTTTCCTTCTCAATTTAGTCACACACAATCCTTGAAACCAACTGCTTTGACAAAGCAGTACCCGGCAACAAGATTATTCATGTGTGGGAGAGACAGTTAAGAGTTGTACAAGTTTAGGGTTGGGTGTTTAAATTTGAATTGTGTTTGACTCTTTTTTTTTTTCAAAATTTTAAACTTGAATTGTTCAAGTCAGCAATTTTTTGTTTCAAGATATTCAAAAAATTCACGAGCATAGGCCGACCTATCCTGTTGACACCCTTCCGAGTGCTGATGATAGATTGTGGTAGCAACAGTGATGGGCAATGGTAGTGGTGGTGATGGTGTTGGCAATTGCAATAGGTGATAGGTGATAATGGTGGCAACGATGAATAGTGATGGTGGGGTGGTAAGTGGTGGTGGTGGTGATAGGAAGGAGAGTGTATTATCAGAAATTGGTCTTTTAGCCACAAAAATTGTTTCGGCTAAATGTGTAAAAATTGTTACTAAATCTTTTAGTGACAATGTTTTTATTGTCATAAGACCGTGAGAATATGTGTTGTGACTAAATAATTTTACTATGACATTTTCATGTATTGCAACTAAAAATAAAATTTTTAGCCACGATAAAAAATATATTACTAAATGTGTAATTTTTAACCACAATAACTATTGTAGTAAATTCAGGTAATTTTGCCACTAAAATTTACTATGTCACTACTAACGGTATGAAAAAAAATACGACTTTTAGTGGCAAAAAAAAGATATGGAGGATGTTTAATTATTCTTAAGGCTCAATCATTGTGCCTTGTAGACCTTTCTGAAGTTCGTTGAGTTTAACATTTGGGCCATAGATTGTTATGTCTATCCATTTATGATATATAAATATACGTTCAATTTAATATGCTCAAGCTCTATTTGTTATCATATATAAATATTTTGGTGGGTTCAACATTGATTGGGCTTGTGTTTTTGGAATTACTTACCTAAGAATATGACATAGAAACCAAAGCTGGACTTGAGCAGGCAAGCGAACTCGAGCTGAAGTTGAACCAGTGATAGTCTATTCGAGTAGAGCCTAAACACCAATTAAAGTTGGCTAAACTACATATTTTTTAATTGACGGCATGTAACATGCATCACCTTAACTTCATTCTTTTGTCTTTCTCTACTGAAGCTTGATCACCAAGACTAAACAAATAACAAACTTTACCAGTTGGAGTCAGACAAATAGAACAAATACTTTACTTGAAATACTGGTTAAGCATAAAGAAGTCCTCCATGGTACCCATGTATTTCTATATATAGTTCTCTTAATTGTTTACACTTGCTAGAGCAAACCAAATTGGCACATAGAGCTCTTTAAAGAAGTGAGTTCAATAAATTTCCAGTTTTATAATGCTGTAATTTCATTTCCATTGAATAATTAGTTTCCGTCTTTATTTCTGTTGCAAACATATCTGGAAGTTATTATTGTGAAGGCCTAAGACATATAACCAAGGTATATATGTAGAGTTAGTAGCCTTTCATTGTGAAGATCTTATTTGTCTTCTGGCATCTAATTGTAACAAAATCTTTATCTATACCAGCATTATCTAGGTCAATATATCATAGTTGCTCAGCTGGCGATAGTATAGGTTGTGGAGGGTCTAGAGCAACAATCATAAGGTTCTTCAAAAGGATTGTTTTTGGAGTAAAGCTATTCAGAACTAAATATCTGAATAGCATAAGGATTCTTCTTAGAGTAATGCTATTCAGACCTTCTTTTTATTCTAATTTTGGGTACTGTGTATCTACCTATAGACTACCGAATTTCTTGGTTTATCATCAGAGCAGAACTTCACACAGGTTCAGTGTGGACGATATATATGAGAGTGAGGTTGCGAAAGGTTATACATGGGGGTTTAAGGGCTTGAGTTTTGGGATTCAAATCTATGTGATTAGCTTGTATTGGTACTTTCAATTTCTCTCATAATAGATTAGGCCACGCCCCGTGAACGTAGGCAAGAATTTTTGTCGAATCACATAAATCACTTGTATCTTTTTGTGTGTGTACAGTAGTGTTAATTCCTTCTTGTTATTTTATTGTCTATCTCGATACTCAAATCATGAATTTATAATAATAAAATATTTGCACGACTATTTGACAAAAACTTCCCCAATTATTGTGAAGGTAGTTTCAAACTTTGCCGCACGTGAAGATTATTAATCTGAGCTATTTTATTTTTAATGTTATAATGCTCCAGAGGCCATCACTTTTTTCATAGAAAGCATAGTATTTCCTGTAAGATCAGTTATAACTCCTCAAGTTTAAAAGTTTGAGATTGGGGCAGTATGAGTTAGAAGTTTGGATTGTGTTCAGGTTGAACATTTTAAAAAACTTGGGTTAATCTTTTTCTAGGATTTGCATTTCTAAAACACCCGTTCATTATCCAAACTCACTAATTTCATGTCGGATTTAATTATCATTTTTAGAACTGCCATACACCATCATATTGGTAGTTTTGATAGGCTTACTGACCAACCCTCCCAACTCAATCATATTGGTGTTTGTCTTTTGACATATAATTGTTATTTTTCGTCCGTCTTCTCTCTCAATTCGAGCTTAAAGGAAAGCCACTACTTTTATTTGTTTTGTAGGACTAATTGCATTTGCCCCTCAAACAGTACTTTTAAAAGTTTTATTTTATCCTCTCAAAGATAAAAAGTACTATCACACATTGTCCGTTTAGTTTCTTAGAAGTATAGGAATTTGCCCCAAAACCTCTACAACATTAGGGTTTTCGTTTGTGAAAACATCACAATGTCGTTTTGCCCCTGAAATTTTTTTGAGCAATGCTATTTGAATATTATTTAGTGACCTTATTTGGTGATCTTTCATTCTCTATCATTAGATTAACAGTGAACCCCACTATTAGTTGGAACCTACTATCAATTCTGTTGAAGTATAGATAGTCTAGGTTTATTAGGATTTCTTTTCCTAGGTTTATTAGGATTTCTTTTCCCTTTTTTACCTTTACTATGATTTTTATATTTTGCCTATATATACGGGGTTTTACTCTTAATTTGAGTATCTCATTTTACTCACAATTATTTCAAGTTGGTATCAGAGCTAGGTTAGGGTTTGGGGTAGGGTTAGTGTATGGCTCTACCAGCCATACCGCCGAAACCACCCTGGCCATCAGCTGCCCAGCGAAACCGACCAAACCAGCGACAAAACCAGTCCACCGACTGCCTATCCTTATACCAGTCCACCACAACCTTAATCCAGTGGTTAGGGTTTCTCTTTCTTCAGCAAACAACCTGAAAGTGAATAGGAGAGGTTAAAGTGACGGCGCCGTCGCTGTCCGCCTTGATCAAGCTGTCGCTTCGTCTTGGCCCTCGTTTTTGCCCAATCTCTTCCGTTCAATTTTGGGCCTTAGTCTTGTACACTCTGTTGAATCTATACATATACTTATATCTTTGAAGCTCAAGCTCATCAGAATCAATGGCGGTGAAAACATCGAAGGCCGAAAAGAAGATCGCTTATGATCAGAAGCTGTGCCAGCTTCTTGATCAGTACACCCAGGTCCTCATCGCCGCGGCCGACAATGTCGGATCGAACCAGTTGCAGAATATTAGGCAGGGACTTCGTGGAGACTCTATGGTGCTGATGGGGAAAAATACTATGATGAAGAGGTCCATCAGGATCCATTCTGAGAAGACCGGCAACAAGGCCTACCTCAACCTTATTCCTCTGAGGCTGCCCTGCTTGCAAAACTTGGGATAAGACCCTTCTCTTATGGTCTGCAAGTTCTGTCTGTTTATGACAATGGTTCAGTTTTTAACCCAGAGGTGCTTGATCTGACTGAAGATGATCTTATGGACAAGTTTGCTATTGGAGTTTCCATGGTTACTGCCCTGTCACTGGCCATCTCGTATCCAACACTTGCAGCAACCTCAATCCATACCAGTTCAACCAGTCCATACCGATCCTCACCTGCACTGACAAATACCACCGACATCAAACAAACAACCAGCCCATAACCATATGACAAACCAGCCCATAATCATATGCTAAACCAGCCCACTGTCCAACCGATTGGCCATATATATCCTGTCCCGCGCCCTTTACCCATTCTCCATATAATAATAATAATAGATCCAAACCAATAAACCCAATAAAACCACTCCTACTGCTAGATCATTGTCCAGCCCACTGCTGGGTCACAACTTTCGTTGTGATTTTATTCTAGGACTTTTTTGGGAGGGAGCGGATCCTCTTTTCTGTTGATCTGCCCTTGATGCAGTAAATCACTTATTTATATATTTTGGATTTCTGGGCACCGTGACTTGATTATTTGGGAGCTTTTTGGACCTTCCCTATTTGTCGCTACTGTTCGACTGAAGGTATATTGTTCTCCCTTATTTTATTCCTCTATTTATCTTAGAGTTATTTTTCTGTCACGGGTGCCCTAGTATTGTTGTTGATATGACTACTACTGAGGGACTTGAGAACCCTACTGTTGACACCTCTACCGTTGAGACAATCTATAATGAATTTTGATTGTGAATTGAGTTGAGTTTACTCCTCTTGTTCTTGATTGAACTTTTGAACTTATCAAAGGTAAATCACATCCTTTGTGGCGTTCTTGCTTGTAATTTGGGTTCTTCAGACGGGTCTAGATTTTAATATAATCTAGGTTCTTGGAACGAGATCTCAACGGGTCTAGTTGCATTACCAGCATTACCGGGCATGATCTCTCAAAAAGTTACGGCACAATTGTTGAATGGTCGTAACTTCGCTGAGTGGTCACGCTCATTCCAGCTTTTCTTAGGTCGTGTAAGGAAGCTTGGTTGGCTGACGGGATCTCACCCAAAGCCAGCTGATGCCGACCCTGGATATTCTGCATGGTTCTCTGAAAACTGTGCCATTCTTGGATGGTTATTTGGCTCAATGGAGCCCTCTGTTTGCAAGATCCACCAGTTTCATAGCTCTGTTCCGAAGCTATAGAGCGCATTATCAGAGATGTATTCTCAGTCAGGACGGGGAGTTTGTGTTTATGAGCTTTCTCAGGAGCTCTCATATGCTCGGCAGGGAGATATGACCGTTCAGGATTATTATGGCTATTTGACCCAGCGCTGGCTTGAGTATGAGTCTCTACGTCCTCTTGCTGCTATTCCGAAGATAGAGCTCGAGGGAGTAGCATTCTTGCATACTCGAGAGCAGGAGGATAGGATTCACAAGTTCCTTATGGGGTTTCGTGATGAGTTTGAGGGACCTCGTTCTCAGATCTTGTCGATGTTGACACTTCCTTCTATTATTACTGGTGATGATGTTTCTGGGACTGCGCAGGTCAAGATAGACCTTGGGAAGGCCTTCGATGTGAAGGATCTCAGACCGGTTCTCTAGCCTGTTATTCAGATTCAGATTATGGGGGAGCATGTGATGGTCGATCCACTACGGGTTTCTGTGCTTTTCGAGGGACTCATCTTATCTCTTGGAAGAGCAAGAAGCAGGCAGTTGTCTCCCGCTCGTCCGCAGAGGCAGAGTATCGGGCATTGGCACTTGGCACATGTGAGATTATCTGGCTACGATCGATTCTTGACGAGTTGGGTTTTTCAGTGACCTCTCCATCCACATTATATTGTGATAATCAATCTGTTATTCAGCTCGCTTCTGACTCTGTACTACATGAGAGAACGAAGCATATAGAGATCGATGTTCACTTTCTTCGGGAGAAGGTCAGCAGTGGTCTTGTTACTCCATCGTTTGTAGGGACCAGTGATCAAGTTGCGGATGTTTTTACTAAACCTGTCACTCTGTCTATTCTTCGGGACTCCGTTGTCAAGCTTGGCTTAGTTGACATTTTTGCACCTAGCTTGAGGGGGAGTGTTGGAGTATAGATAGTTTAGGTTTATTAGGATTTCTTTTCCTAGGTTTATTAGGATTTCTTTTCCCTTTTTTACCTTTACTATGATTTTTATATTTTGCCTATATATACGGGGTTTTACTCTTAATTTGAGTATCTCCTTTTACTCACAATTATTTCAAGTAATTCTATGACTATAATCCATAATCTCACCAAATAAAATCACTAAATTAGGTATAAATAGCATTTTCCAAATTTTTAATACACTTTTCATGATAAAAGTTTAATTATATCACACAGGATGTGTGGCACGCAATATTTTCCTAAACCTAACGGCATTTGGCAGTTGAGTCACAATTAAACACTTTTAGACCCGACATAATCCCTTAAAGATGTGATTTATGTCGTTTTGGTTCTTATTCTTTCAATTTGTCACTTCAGCCTCTATAAATTTGTTCACTTTGGTGCCATTGAAATCGTGGTTTAAATTGACCTCAAGTGTGGTCATGTTTAAGGTACTTAACCATTTCCATTTAGTCAATTTAAATCATGGTTTATGGAGTAACCATTGATTTAGGAATAAGAAACCTTCCTTTCTAAATATAGAGAGCTAAACGGTTGTTTTTATTTGTTCAAAGTCACCCAAATCTCAGCAAATAGCTTAAACTGATACAAAGAGGTATGATCAATTTGTTCTTTGAATTAGCAACATGCTTAGTATTCATGAGTGAGTTTCTGTGTGTCTTTCTTCATTTCTACAAGCATTATCTGTATCTAATTATAATAGTTGAGCAAAAAGTTGTTTAAAATACTCATTCCAATTCAAGTATTATCTAGTACCTAAACTAATGGATTGACAATTCTTTACATAATCCGTCAATCCAATGAGAAATAAATATAATGCAACAAATGCGACTTTAGCCTTTGATGTGTTGATCATTGATGTTCATTATCCGTCTGACACGCATCAGACCCACTTTAGAAATAGCTGAACTTGACTATACATAACTTGATTCTGACCTAAAATAATTTAGACACGATAACTTGAAACATTATCAATCTTATTACAATAATTTAATTTGTTCATCTCAGATTAACTTTCTTATTTTTTACCTTTATGTTTCAATTTTTATCAAATTCAAATATTCTGTTCTACCTCGGTGCCTTTCAGGATAACATTGAAGAAATCTCTCTTCTTGAGCAGATCACTATATTGAACAAGAAATTTGTATTATCCATAACTTTTTTTGATAAAACGTAAGGGGTGTCTCTGTAATTTGTTGATTTTTAAATCCTCTCCGCTCGAAAGAAATCTTTGATAAGGGCAGTGTAGTGGTGTTGATGGCTTTCTCCAGATTGAGTACACCCCTCTATCTTCCCTATACTTGAGAGTATATTCAATAATGCTCTCTATTTTACAATAAAGAAAAAAGTTGGAATAGAGAGTTGATAAAAGATACTCTAGTTCTATTGGTGCAAAATATCACAGTTGTGAACATTTTTTTTTCTTAAATATATCTCTCTATGTTGTAATGCTAAATGAGAAGATTGATTGTATGTTGCCAGTGAACACAGCTGCCCATTAAACTACAAGAGTGGACAATACTGGTACAAGCGGAGGAAATTCTCATATAGTTGATATGGAAAAAGCCTGCATTCTACTGGTAAATTCTATGCAAGCGAGGTTAGAAAGCTTGCCACCTCTATCTTCCGAGCGTTGCATCTTCAGGGTCTCCCCACAACTTCGAAAAAATAATGAAGAAGCCTATACTCCTTTGACAGTCTCAATCGGTCCATTTCACCATGGCAAAGTTGGGTTGATGGATTTTGTTAAAATACTCAGGGAGAAAGAGGAAAGAATACGCCAATGTTATGGAGAAACTATCGACTTTGAAAGTGATGAATTTGTGGAAATGATTCTTGTTGATGCTGCTTTCATCATTGAACTCATGTGGAACAAAATCTGCTTTTCCATTATTCATCAGAACGATCCTATATTCCACAAACCAAGGATGATTAAGGACATACAACACGATCCTATATTCCACAAACCAAGGATGATTATGGACATACAACGCGATTTAAGGTTACTTGAAAAACAAATTCCGTTTTTTAGTTCTCGAGGATCTTTTCGACCTCGCAAACTTCCAGGCAGACCAGATCCCAGGTGAGACAGCTGAGAAGCTATCTTTGGTTAATCTAACCAACCAATACTTCAAGGAACATTCTGGGATTCGACTCAAAATTCGAAATTCTTTATGAGCGAATCATTTGCTTGATTTCCTAAGAAATTGTCTCGTACAATCTCATCCTCCAAAGCCACCCAATAAAATAGGTAAATATCAAGCCTTACGTTGTGCAACAAAGCCCCACGAGGCGGGAGGAACGTTTAAGAAGGGAGAAAGCGAGAACTTGTTTGACGTGAAATTTGAAAGTGGTGTTTTGGAAATCCCATATTTTTCTGTTAATTTTCATACAGAATGTATTTTACAAAATCTAATTGCCCTTGAGTTGTGTGATATTGATCCTGCAATTAGTGATTATATCACCTTCTGGGATGCCCTCATTGACTCTCCAGAGGACGTTGATTTACTTAATCGCAGCGGAATCATCTATCAAAGAGGGGACATCAAAGATGTGTGTAATATGTTCAACAAACTCGGCAAAGAAGTTGCTATCGACCATGAGAAGTACTATTTTGCTAGAATTCATGAACAACTGAATGGATACTGCAAGATTCCTTGGAACAAATGGATGGCGACCTTGAAACGAGATTATTTTGGGACTCCATGGGCAACACTATCTATCGGCATAGCTGCTATTCTTCTCCTGCTCACATTCATACAAGCAGTGTGTTCTATCATCTCTGTGACTTGAGAATTCAGAGATGATTACTTCTTGTAATATCCATCAGACTATATTATATTTATCGTGTCATCCTATTTATGGAAATACTGTTCTTTGCAATGGCAATTGAGGTACTCTTCAACCAAGGCGGCATCCTTTCATCTTTTACTAAATTTATGGCATGGACTGTGAATGTGATGTACGAAGTTTGGGAAAATTAATGATAAGTGAGTGAATACAAGTACGAATGATTTGTTGAGTGTGGATAACTTCCTCATAATTGGGTGCAGGTGAGTGCTGAGTTATAAATACGAATAATATTTATGTGTCTAGGTGAATGGATATAATTAATGTGGTCATGTAAAGACCAAATCGCTCTCACCTTAGCACCGCACCAACTAATTAAATAACAAACAATTTTATCTCTTTGAGAAGTGTTTGCATCTATATGATGGACTTTTGAGTTGCCCGTCAAACAGACCCTTATCCTTTTGGTTTCTTTGTCTTTTGGCATATTATTGTGTTTTTTTCTCTTTGTTAAAGTGTAAATACATAAGTTACACAAACTCTAACAGTTTAAACTTTTAAAATAAATGATTGTTTAACAATCATTTCTCTCTACCATCCTGATACCTGGCTTGAGGGTTAGGAATTGATCACATCCATGCCACAAGGTAAATAGCAAGCCAATACTTTACTTTCTTTTGGAGGACAAATGGCATTGTATCCCTCAAGTACTTTAACATTAATATATTTCATATATACTCTCAAAGATAAAATGTATCACACCGCAAAACCTAGGCGATGTTAGTGTTTTCTTCGGTAAAAACATAACAATGGCACTCTACTCTTGAAATTCCTTATTTATTTATTTATTTATTTCGAAATGTAAACTTGTATTAAGACAAAAAAGGTACAAATGTACAAAAGAAAGCTTGCACAATCAAGCCATGATTAGAACTCCACAAAGAAGGCGAATCCTACAAAAGAAGGCATTAAGATAGAAATAGAGCAAATGACTTTACGTACCCCCTAATCCCATCCTTGGGCAATAGCAAAGCACAAAAACTCTCAAACAAGATAAACAGAGGAGAGGTTCCAATGGTGCACTAAGAGCAGATTCTGAGGATTGACCTTGAACTTAAGTAGAGAGTTTTTCTCTAATAGTTGTCTGAATTATGAAAAGCAAACTTTGTTGGGATGTAACCAGATTGTTAAAGATCGTATTGTTTCTCTCCCTCCATAAGTTGTAAATAGTGATAGAGAGGCAGAGCTTGAAGAGAACAACCTTCAAAGATTTTCCTTTCCAATTAACTGTTGCCCAACCAATGAAGTCATTCCATTGGAGAGCTTGAGGTTGTTGGATACATTGTTGCATCAACTTAGTCCAAATACCAAAAAGCATAAGTACACTCAAAGAACAAATGATGATGACATTCTGGGAGTTGATGACACAAAGAGCAAGTGAGAGCGATAATAACTGATAATAAGTTAAATCTGATAATAGGAGTGTGACTTAAAACTACACAACGAAATGATCGATAATTAAATTTCATGATTTATTGTAAGTGTTAAAACTTTTAAAGATCAAGGTATATTTTTTTAAATAAAGTAAAAACTAATTAAGATTATTAATGATCGATAACAAAAATTCATGATCGATGACCACTGCCACTACCCCATCACCGCCGCCGCCATCTCATCACCATCTCTATCACAACCACCGCTTATTACTTCCACCGCACCCACCGCCACTGCTGTCATCCCACCACCACCCCTACGACAACCACCACTTATTACTTCTACCGACTCCCACCACTATCATCATCTCATTCTTATATTTATTATCACTACTACCATCATTTCACCACCACCGTCACCCACTGCCACCACTCACCACCATCATCGTTGCCCACCACCACCACCCACTACCACAAACCACCACTCGTTATCGTCCACTACCACCACCACCCACTGTCACCCATGCCTAGCATCACTGTCGCCCACCATCATTCACAGCCACCACCACCATCACAGTTGTCACACCACGGCTGTCACCACCACAACAGTCGTCGTCAACCACTACAATAATTATTGTCTCTCACCATCACCACTACTGCCCATCACCACTACCACCACTCACCCCCATTACATCTGGCACTTAAATTCTTTTCTTTCTCCTTTATATTTGTGATTTAATTTTGGGTGTAAATATAAATATATTCATGATTGACAATTTTTTTAATTACTCTGAGCAATACCTAATTTTTAACATACCACCAATCCGACAAGAAATAAACATTAAGGCAATAGGTGTCACTTTAACTTTAATGGTTTAACATCATTATCAATTTGACTCATCAGACCCATTTAATAGATGAGTCAATACAAGCTTGACTATACCTAATATGATTGTGACCCACATAATTTAGACATGACACCAAATTTGAAATAATGTATTTGCAGTCCTATTATAACAGTTCTGGCAATCTCAGATTAATTTTTTAAATTGTATTTTTAACCTAAATGTTTATATTATTATCGAATTCGAATTTTCATCTTCTACATTTATGTTTTTCACGATAAATACCAAAGAAATCTCTTTTGTTGAGAATATCCCTATATCGAACAAGTCATTCATATTGAGAATCCTGGCGGACACCCAGACTCTTACTCCATTTTTGTGTACCAATTGCACATGGATCTGGCAAACAAAATTTCGTAAGGATTTTGTCCGTGTAGCATTATTGATTTCTATCCGTTGGAATTTGAGAAATAAGGATCTAAAAATTTCTATAAATGGGAACCTAGCTTTTGAGAGTTAGAAATCCTCTTTGATATGAATGTAGTAGAGTTGAGATTTTATCTCTAATGGATTTTCTTTAAACTAAGTGTTTCTCGGCGGTATTTCTCTCTATAATCACAAGAAAGTCTTATTTTTGAGCAATGTTACATTGACTTAAAATGCTGACTTGATTTATTGATTTCACCAACCACAGTCATTCATTTAAATGTGGGTCTCAGAATTTATTGGAACTCACTACCTATTCAATGGTTATGATTGATCAAGTCAGCATTTTAAGTCCATATATCATTTTTCCTTATTTATACTTGAGGATTATCACCTAGTCATTATCAATTACCACCAATATTTCCTCAACTCCCTACCATTAAAGTAGGCTAAAATACTCCAAGTATGAATTAACTAACTTAACCTAGTCTTTCATTACTTGACGAGTTTCTCTAGCAAAGTCACTCATACTGACTAGAAAAGATTCGACCCAAACATCCAATCATATCAATACATAATAATTTTATAAAAAATGCATCTATAATAAATTATATATGACATATGACATATGACATAATTTTTCCCCTTGTCTGGTGAATATATTAACCTATTGAAGGTCAATTGTTTTTAACAGCCTAGAAAAGGAAATTCCACAAAATCTATATACCATTTATATGCCCTGCTGCACCACGAATCATTTTGGTTACTAGAGTAATATGTGTGAGTCAAAAGAGGATACAAACTAAGTGTAGAGTCCCCGTATATATAGCCAATAAAAGTTACAAGAAGGATAAAAAGGTAAAAAGGGAAAAACATAATAAATCCTAAAAAACTAGAATGCTATATTTCCAACACTCCCCCTTAAGCTAGGCGCAAAAATGTCAACTAAGTCAAGCTTGACAACGGAGTCCCGAAGAATAGATAGAGTGACAGATATGGTAAAAATATCCGCAACCTGATCACTGATCCCCACAAATGATGGAGTGACAATACTACTGCTAACCTTCTCCCGAAGAAAGTGAATATCGATCTCTATATGCTTCGTCCTCTTGTGTAATACAGAGTCATAAGTGAGTTGAATAACAATTCGATTATCACAATATAATATAGATGGAGAAGTCACTGAAAATTCTAACTCGCCAAGAATTGATCGTAGCCAAATAATCTCATATGTGCCAAGTCCTAGTGCCCGATACTCTGCCTCTGCTGACGAGCGAGAGACAACTGACTGTTTCTTGCTCTTCCAAGAGATAAGATGAGTCCCTCAAAAAATACTGAAGCCCATAGTAGATCGACTGTCACACACTCCCCTGTAATCTGAATCTAAATAACAGGCTAGAGAACCAGCCAGAGATCTTAGTGCATAGAACAACCCAAGTTTAAGACAAGACTTAAGGTACCGAAGAATATGATAAACTGCATTAAGATGAGGCTGACATGGTCTGTGCATGAACTAACTAAATCGGCTGACAGTGAATAAAATGTCTGGCTTAGTGTTGGTTAGGTAGATAAGTCTACCTACCAACCTCTGATAGACAGTCGAATCTCTCAACTCCTCACCTTCAGTAGTAAGCTTCAGGTTTGGAATCATGGGTGATGATGCCGGTTTGCACCCCAGTATCCCAGTGTCTAAGAGAAGATCTAGAACATACTTTCTCTGAGAAAGAACAATACCCCTGCGGCTACGGGCAACCTCAATCCCAAGAAAATTTTGTAAAAATTCAAGGTCTTTCACATTGAAGGCCTTCCCAAGGTCTACCTTGACCTGCATAGTCCCAGAAACATCATCTTCAGTAATAATAATATCATCAACATATACCAAAAAGATGACACACTGTCCAGAAGTATTCCGTCGAATAAAACAGGTATGATTAGAATGACATCTGGTGAATCTTAAACGTACAACTACATCACTAAAGTGAGAGAACCAAGCTCGTGATGACTATTTCAGTCTATAAAGAGACTTACACAGTCGACATACATTTTCAGCATACTTTCCCTCACCACGAAAGTCCAGTAGTGCATTCATATAAATAATCTCGTCCAGATCACCGTGAAAAAATGCATTCTTCACATCCAACTAATGAAAAGGCCAAGAGTACTTCACAGCCAGAGAAATAATCAATCGAACAATAGTCAATTTTGTCACGAGGACAAATATAGCACCAAAATCACGACCTGGTACCTGAGTAAAGCTCTTCGCCATAAGCTTAGCCTAGTGACAATCAATAGTACCATC